CTTTGTGGAGTGGTGAGTGGGGAAACCAAGCGCTGTCAGCAAGGTATGGAGGTAAGTTGAGAGTTTATATAGGCCGGTTGCAACCCCTCCCACAACTACAGGCTCCGCTTTCCCATTTGTGGTTGGGGAAGAAAGCTGTATAATTGTGGACCTATACCTATAACCATTAGTATAATAAACTAAGTCGGTTGTGGTGTGCCGAAACCGAGGTATGGGTAGGCCTGTAAATAAAGAGGGCAAAAGAGAAATATCAGTTCCATACTTTAATACGTATACAAATACATTAAGTCACCCGTGAATTCTTATTTCGACAATTGTTTAAATGCTTGTTTTATTTCTTTCTCAGGTTGAGGTTTGTAACGGTTGTATGCTGATGACTTCCATCTGCCTAATTTTTTGATAATATGCATCGGTACGTTTTGGCTGGAGGCTGATGTAGCAGCACCAATACGAAAGGAGTGGCCGGTGAATGCCGCGGGATCATACCCGATCTTGTGAACAGCAATCTTACATATCTAATGAACTTCGAGGTAGTTAGGGGTTGACCATGTATGATGAGCAGGGGAGTTTGTTTGGGTTGGTCAGCCAAACCTGTCATGAATTTGTCGAACAGTAGTACAGGGCACCAACGGTTATCGGTAGGGTAATATTGAATGTCGAGGGGCAGACCCACTTGATTTGTTTTGGAATGTATGACAGTGTGTAGTGATCACCTATTTTGTTTAGGTGTGAAACCCATAGCATATTTGACTTGTCATTGCTGTTTCCTATGGTGAGTTCGTTGGGTCGCATGAACTCATAAAATGCCAGGTATATGGCTGTTCAGATCGTGTTATTTGTGTGGGTTTCAAAAGGTTTGGTATCTAGCATGTCAGACAAGGCCCTGAATTTCTCGGCATCGATTGGTTGTCGTTTAGTAGGCTTAGGGTTTTCAAGGCGTAGAATGCCTTTTAGAGTATTTTTAATGGGGTGTGCTGACATTACAGTTTTATGACCAGTATATGTGTTGCTTACATGATGCTGTATCTATCCCAGTTAAATATAGTTTTATGGTGTTGTGGGCAAGTTTCAGATTGAGGTGGCAAAAAGAAGTGAATGCCACCATAGTATCTAAACTATATGGGTTTGTGATTTGATATTCTGAAATAAATTTGTTGAACAATTTTAGAGCTCGGTTGTATGAGCGTCTAGTGTTTGTGGATAGTGCGGCCTGTGCTAGTGCTTTCCCGTGCTCCATAAGTGTTTTCAGTCCAAGATGAGGTCTCTGAACCGAGGTGTCTGTAGGTTTTTGCATTCTACCGTACCTGCTAGTAGTGCTACCAGCTCCCTTGTGAAACTCCTCCGTGAAACCCGTGATCAAAGTATTTGGATGGATGTGAATTAAGATAGAACGCTATTGTGTCAACTTTTACTTCCGTCAGTCATTTCTTGGGGAACAGGCGGTTAGGGCACATAGTCTTAGCGTGAGCTCTATGGCAGATGGTGCGGACATGTAACAATCTGCAGGCACTAAAGCTGCAGCCGCCCGCGTTGAAATTATTACATATCTGCGCCTTCCCCAAGAAGACTATTGGTCTACCTAGTTTGTCTTTAAGTGATCTCTGGTCAGCGTTGCTGGTACCAGGAACTGCGTTGCTTGTCGTTGGTAAACTGGGTTCGTTTGGGCACAAGTTGGTGGCATGGGAGTTGGACGAGGTATGAGCCCGGCAAAATGTTGGCAAAACAATTCAGTATCTAAGTGTCTCCAGTCTGTTCTTTGGCTGAGAACGACTTTTGATACTCAAAAAATTTATGACCACCGTACTTGTGTCCCAGGTCCACTAACTTGAGTAGATACAAATCCAGTTCCTCTCTACGTTTGGGAAAACTGGTGTATACCACATTCCTATATATCCTGAAAGCTAGGACGAACTCAGGTATTGTTAGCTTTTTATTTAGTCTGGGATCTCTAGCTTTCATTACTACTGATAAGTCCCCATAGCTATAGATCTTATTTTCCACCACGTCTTGCGACGCTATCAATAGGGAGATTAGGTTGACATCTTTCCCCTCTAATATGTCCTTCCTGATGTTAAGAGGTACCAAGTGCGCTGGTGTGATGGTGTGGGTGATAGGATTCTGTGTGATTTGTGCCCCTGCTACATTACCCTGTGCTTCTATGTGTTCAATTGCTGGGGTAAGGCGATATCTGCGCCTGCAATAACCGGCTCAGGTGCTTCCAGTCTGTCCATTCTTTGACTGATATTGCTAATGGACGCCAGGATGGATGACATAGTGGCTTGCAGCCCTGCCAAGGTTTCGTTCATATTGTCCTGTGATCTGGTTCCTGGTTGAGGGTTAGCAGAGTTTGTCATCATAATCCTATACAATTCTGCTTTCCTTGCTGTGGCCGGATATGGTACCCTCTGCGTCTTAGTTCGGCAGCTATTTTAGGAATTGTCCATGACCTCAATGAACAGGGGCTGTCTTGATTTTCGTCGTCGGGTGGGTGGCCTAGCGGGTGTGCTGGGTGGGGAGACGTCATCTCCTATGTCGAAGGCGTGAGACATTCTATATAGAATGATAAAAGTTGTAGCGAATTGTTAGTGCCTTATTGTAGATAAAGGTGGTGGGTGAGGCCCTGTTACTAGTCAATTGACTGAAACAGGCTCTATCTATGCATTGGACGTATGTCTGAGTCTCAGAAGCGTTGTGACGGGGAGGTGGGCCTCTGTTCTCATATGGTGATTGTACTGGACATGACTGGTGAGGCCCTCTCTGTACTCTGAACTATGATTTGGACCGATGGGTGAATACCTCTACATAGAGGATTGTGACAGACCCATCTGTATAGACTAAGATTGCTGGATTCGTCTTTTTTGCCTTTCTCACGACATTACCCGTTTGTATGCCTTTGTTCAAGGGAATTGACTTTTCTGCTGAACAAAACTGCCGAACGGACGGCCACCCAGAAGAGAAGTGTGCTGCTGGTTAACCTATTGATCCCCATTAGAACGTTGCGGTTAACCACAGACACTTCTCAATTAAAACCGAATACAGGGTGGTCGTCGTTCGTATGTCGACCACGAGGCGGCGGCCATTTTAAACCATGCGAAAGACCAGCGGTGTTCGGCACTGATTTCATGGAACTGAAAACGGATACTTTTTCAACCGAACACCGCTGAAGCCGCCGACCTCCGTTCTCAATCGACAGAAGTGTGCGAAGACCGGCCGTTCGGGAGATTTAAATGCACGAATGGACTTACCCCAGATTGCCTTCCCATGGAGTCAATCGCATACCGAAGAACTGTAATAGACTTTGACTCCATGGCGATTGAACTATGCGTATGGGATCTGAGCGCTATTCGCCAATAATATGCACTCAGATCCAGGCTATCTGGGGATATGTGATACGAATGTGGATAGCATTCGACAATTGTAAAGTTATCTATTGTTATGTGTTTTTATGTGTTGAATTTAAAATGGTGATTTGCCTCTGTCTTGGAGATAATTGAATTACTTCTTGATTATCTCCAGGGCAGAGGGGAGGAAGTACTATTGCATGTTGGGAATATTTTGTGTCTGTGGGTTCTGAACTGCCATATGTCTGTCTATTGTCACAGTCTCCCATTTGGTCCCCTAGGGGAGTGTCCACCAAGTGGGAGACCTGCATAAATACGGGCAGGTAGCCCACAGTAAAGCCAGTTCTTGTTTTACCCTCAATGCGGAGCTTGGTCTTGTTATTGGGGGGATTTTATTACCGGCGACTAGAGACTGCTAGATGGGATTATTAGCCGCTTGGGAG